GGATGTAGAGAAATAGGTGAGAAGTAGTCAAAAGCTTCAGATGGCCATAAGAAGAGAGGAGAAAGGGATAGAGTAAATAGCTAAATGTGGTAATACGAATTCGATTGAAGATAAGGCGCAGATGGAACTGGGTCATTACGACTGGATCTCGAGGCATATCACCTAGAGTCTCCAACCACCGATTGCAGTATCAAATGTTGATAGTGTATACTGAAGCAACCAGGTGGTTAAGGATAAATGTTGAAAAAGATCAATGTGAAATTCTTGTATTGACATTAAGAGGCGTTCCCACCAAGCAGCCAAATATCTAATGTAGAAAGCTAGAATCAGGCATAGTCTATTCTCCTAGGCTTAATGCAATATGAAATAGAGAAGCTGAGATACCTGTAAAAGTTGAGATACAGGTTCAGTGGCTAACAGTGTAATCCAGGACGTGCGTCCCGTCCTATTAGGGACTCGTCAGCTGGATGTAGCTGCCTCCCAGTGAGCGATATTGTTCCCATCAAGACTTGAAACGAAGACAGATCGCTTCAAACACCAGGGCGTTATCACAGTGTAAATTATACCCGTCGCACAAGAAGTGGCTATCCTAACTTGGTGGCTTAGTGGATGACGCTCTGGCGTTTGAATTGACCGGTTTCGGGTTCAGACCTCGGTGGGAATATAGCTCGCGGGAAGACAGGCACATCCAGCTGACGAGTCCCAACTAGGATGAAACAAGCGTTTTTGATTTCATTGCTAACCACTATCCATCATTAATAACAAAACATTGCCTATTATTTTTCATTCAATCCTAAAATGCAGACACTTGGAAGTGGGTGATTGCTCACTATTTGTGTGCGAAATGGACTTTCTAAAACTGTTGAAAGTAAGTAGCGATTACAACCAGTTCCATTTTTTGTCTTCTGAAGAGCAGCATTGATAGGTTTATGCATCAAAAGTGGCTGACCTGAAAACTAGGCAACCTGAAATAATCCAATAAAACAGACATGAGCGTAAGTGCACACGAGTGGATAATCTCTGAAGAGACTAATCGAGTTCATTTTTTTTAAATACATGAATCGAATAAACTCCGACGTAACAAACTCCAGAATGAACTTGAGGTAAATAGGTAGGGCGAAAATAACCAATAAATACATCTGTTTTTCTCTATGACTGACAGAAAAAAGGAACAACATGAAACCTGGAATTGTAGTATGATAATGAATTGCATGACAAATCAGAAAATGAACTGGTGTAGAACAGTAGAGTGAATGTATCTCTGCATTGCTGACAATTATTTCGAGGTACGGCACAGAGTAGAGCTGTGGTTCGTTGGTTCAGGAGCTCGATTTTTAACCGATGGGTTTCAGGGTCGAGCACTGCAGTCACCTACCGAGGTCTCAGTAGCCAAGTAGTATCATTGGCCTGCAAGCAATACGTGTGGGTTATTGCTAAGGAATTACAGTCCTTGAATATGGCAAAGACAACGATTGGCCTCAGTTAGACTCCAAATAAAACTAAGCTCAATTATGCAAATTACTCAATCTATTGACAAAATGAATTCAACTGAGAGAAAAAAAGAAGGAAAACCAAAAAAGCAACATATTTCGTATTTATTCATCGCTTACAGAAGAAATAGAGAAGACGCAAGATTTTTGAGATGAAAGAAGAAACCACTAAGAAAAACAACTATTAATTAGGATAAGTGACGATCATTTGTTTTTCAGACCACCTACTAAGCGGACAGCACCTATGCACACACACACACTCTATCAACCATGTCATTCATACATTCATTGTATTATCGTTGTAGTTCAAGTACACGTGTATCCGTTCACAAAAAGAAGCAACAGGATACGGAGATATTTTCCAAGGAAATGAAGGTTTTTCTTACTAAAGTATGTAATGGTAATGATTGTTGTTGTCGTCATCTTACTTGTATGCTGACAACCAACATAGAGAAGAGAAGATGGAACAGTATGTATAAATAACAGGCTTTAATAACCAATCATTACCTGCCTACCATGTCGTCATATGTCGTAAGTAATTCACCTAATGGATATGATGAGATCTTCATACGCTCTAACAACTTTCTCATTACTGTTGTTGTTCATTTATTTAGGTTGTACATACACACGTACGAACGCCGGTACAGAGACAAAATCAACCACAATAACAATAATTACGATTTCATCAATTTTCCAAGGGAACAGTTGTTTACGCTAGTTATTATTTTCTTTCCCCGTCAGTTATTCTCATCATGTTCAACATATTTAAGGTGTCGTCATATTTAACGCAAACATGCACACACACAACACACACATGCAGATAGAAAAGAAAATACAAACGTGTGTGAATTAACGCCAACAAAATCAGATAACGATATGTTTCATATGAACTGGAGAAGTCATCAAGCGAGAAACACATCCTCTGGCACTTAGATGAATTTTCTACATTTCCTACCGTTTTGAGGTTTTGAAAGTACTAAATATTACAGCTGATGAATGATGGATGAACAACAGAGTTTTGTGCAAAATCTGTGTAATATATTACTGCGAAGTCATGGAGATAGGAGACTGAAAATTATTGAATATCGACCTAGTGGTTAAGATAGGTAACACGTCCTCTGCGAGACCTCAAAGTCCTAAGTTTGATTCTTGGTGGGGTCATAGATGCGTATTGTTGACGAGTCCCATATTATGTAGAACGAAACAGCTATCCATTGCTCCCAAGTTTTCAATGGTTCTCCAAATGGTTTCAATCCGAGATAATACTACTTTGTAATATATCACGAGTTTAGAATAATGCGTTAGACAGAATGATAGATATTCAAAGAGAAAACAAAAGGTATTTAGCTTCAGTTTTATACTATGAAACGGATAGCTTCTGTAGAGCTGAATTTAGATAGCAAGAGTATAGACAATTATTTTCCTGTTCGACAGAGGGAGATAGTATAAACATAGGACAAGGTAATACTGTATAACGGTCCAAGTTGCTAGACGAGTGTCCACTAAGATGAAAGATAAGAAAATAAATAAGAAAGCAGTCGAAAGTGGTAAAAAACCATCCAAAGAAAGCAAGAAGAATGAGAAATAACTGAAATTCAGCATGGTAATTTAGACAAAGATAATGTGTGGATACATATGCACCACTGAGATGATAGATATTGAGTCATGTCACATAGAGTCTCCAACCACTGGCTTCTGTTGTCAAACGGACCCCAACCGGGCAGTTTACATTTCCCTACACGGTTCAAATAAATAGCCAAAGACTTCAGGGATTCATGCTGTTGTTTATTCCAGCAGCCTATAACCATTATCCATGGTGGACCTACTTCGGCTAACATTGTACGACGGGGTAGGTGGTGACTAGGCATGGGTAACGCATATCCCAGCCGTCTTAGATGATGAAGGTGGATAACCTCACTAGCTAGTTTTTCTTCTCTGTCTAAAACTGTATACTTCGATTTTACGTTACTGACGCACTGACACGTCATATGCTCTATATGTTAAGAAGGTAACGGTGGTCAAACACTTCAAGCCTTCCTCATGTCCTCTATCTTCAATGATCATGTTTCACAGTCATATAGCAGAACAGAACAAACTGTAGCGCAGTGCACTCAACACTTAATAGATAATCAAATATCACGGCGGCGTCATAAATGCTGTAAACTGGTGAAAGTCAAACAAGCTTCCCTATAAATGAGGTTATAAACCCCAGGTTAATCTACAGCTTAGTATATATGGTGATATTACTATTAAGGCAGTTATGTAATAACTACACACAAAGTCATCACGAACTAACATCAGTTGGGTGATCATCAAAAACCTGGGAGTGCTGGATAACTGTTTCGTCCTAGTATGTGACTTTTCAGAAGTGAGGACTCACGACCCTGCTAGGGGTCAAGCCCAGGAACTGCCAGGTCCCTAGGGTGAGCAAGTTACCAGTCAACCACTGAATTGGAATCTAATGACCCAACATTTTCTTACTTCTATCAATTTGCGACATAAAGTGACTATCAGCAAATATGATCGGTGAGTATTTGTCCTCACACACCCTATTGCGGTATAATTCAAATACATGTGAGAGCAATTTTTTAGCTAGGTATGTGATGAAGTAGATCTCTCAATTTTTCGCTAATGTTTTGCATAACTTCATGTATATGGTTCAGTAACTCGATCCACAGGCTTTCAGGAAGGCCACAAGAGAAACAAGCCACATTTTTTACTTTCTGCTCATAAAGTTTTCGGTAATTTGGAGTCCCATTTGTCAATATCTTTCGAGCAGTTGAAATCAACAGTAATCAATATTTGTAAACCATGCTTTCCCTCTAAAATTCCTTCAGCTGGTGTACGTTTTATACGAGTTTTAGGTTTACAGAATTCTCTGCAATAGTACACTGATTTAACCAATCACTTGAACCAGTAGAGATAACATCTTACAAACACAATTGCATTGATGTATTCAAATCAATGACCACAATTTTGTCCTTGTTAAACCTTGATATTTGGTCATGATATTCTCGAGGTGTTGGATGAAACAGCCTGTAATGTAAGAGAAAAACTTAGGCACTGTGACAGAGTATAAATCCATATTAGACTATTTATTTGGTGTAGCACAATGACGCAGTATAACTGACTGGATGACATTTCGAGCAGAATTTATAGCTGGTAGTCACACTGTGTCACTGTGTGTTATATCAAATAAACAATCTAATTTGAAATAGCCTGTACGTCAATGAAGTGGATTGGTTTGTGGGATTGCAAAGTTGAATAACGTATAACATTCAAAAATTGATTTAGTGGCTTAGTGGATAATGTTAACTAGAATATATAGAAACAACCGGTTGATGAAACTTAGATATGACGAAAATTGTAGCCGTAACCTCACTGACAACTACTATTAGCTAATAATTCACATAAAAGTGTCACAATAGCGTATCCTCGAAAACTGTCAACTGTCTTTAATGTATACATACTAGTACGCTAGAACCAGTGACAACCAACTGTAACACTCACCGAATGATTGGCTTGGTTGAGCTAACTGTAATGATTGGACAACGTAAAACAACTACTTCTCCTGGATAGAAATTTCCTCCACCGAGACCAGGATGTTTATTGGCGTCTACCATTGAAGGTAATGACAGTGGTGATGTTCCTTGATTTGAATGTTGCCGGAATTCAGGAGTTATTGATTCGTGTGAATTGGAAGGTAGAATGTAAGTTGTCGGCAGATTAGGCTCAAGAAAGAGATCTATTAATGCAAAAGAAAATAGACAGATCGTTCCGAAATAGTTCGTCACTAACGTATCAAGCAACTACAAAAGTTAGGCTTTATTAATACGTAATGCTGCTCAGTGACATTATGTCAATTGATATGACCTGGAAGTTCAAAACAGACAATACCCAATGGTCACTTTCTGTAAGATAAGCTGTGCAATTGGTGCAAACCAAGTTACAAAAAATGGTTCGACGAAACAACCAGTCGACATGACTATTCCCACCCTCAAGTAATGTATATTTCTGTATTCTGGGTTCAAACAAAAACAGCCACAGGTGACAAGAGTATGGGGTGTAGTGAAATTGGATTTCAGTTTATGTTGACACACATTTCACATGAACACATCGAGAAATCAATACGAGGAAAGATGAACAAGTTCGCAGGTCTGTCTGAATCACTGGTGTCAGCTGACTAGCGCACCCCATTCAACAAACATACACTTCCCTGTGCAAAAAACACAATCAGTCGACTTCACTGATTGGTGACATAAACCTTACAATATGCCTGTTCCTGTGCCAGACAGATTGTAACTGTTGAGTGACTCGGTTGTATTTAAGTAGCTTGCATTTTGCACATTCAAGAGAATGAGTACACGACTGATTGAATAACTAATTAATTAATTCATTAATTGAGTGAGTGATAATGATAATAATAACAATAATAATAATAATAAACAAACGTCGAATTACACTAAGAATCATTTGAGGTCCCTAAATTAGGTGCTTCACCATGAAGCCTACATTATTGAAAAATCGTTAAGATGAATGCACCAAGACAGAGAGGAAACTCCCACTAAATCAGAGACTGTTGGTTGAAATTGCACAAGTTTAGACTTCTTGGTTGTATTGTTGTATTGAGAACACAATACAACCAAGACCATCCACCTGAGATACAAATATTCTCCATTATTTCAAAGTTTAAACTTCTCGTATATGTTAGAAACCAAAAGTTAAACAGCATAAGTGTTGCACTAACAATTCATTTAAACGCCGCCTCTGTGAAAGTTTACACATCCTGCGTTATTTCGAAGTACGAACCAACTAATTTTGGTACTTGATTCTATACGCTTAGATTCGTCTATAACCGATCTACCACTATCATAATAAATTTACGTCTTGAATTCTATCAAACTTCACAAACAAACGTCAAAACTATCAATCTTCACAGCAGGATCACATGAAGATAGATTATTCGGTAGCTAGGCTATAGACCCCATTTCATCTTCAGTAAAAAATCTGCGTGTAGCACAGCCCCTTAACATCTACCTCTAACTATTTAACATGAAATTTACGTAACGTAGCACGAAGTTTATGGGGATTTTATTTTTGAGGTAGCATGCATCACAGGCTAACACTGGTTGGAAAACCACAAAAAACCTGGAAGCACTGGACAGCAATTCTGACTTCACATGACAATTATCAACGGCGCGCATCCCTGAACACACACCCCAGAGAACGGACACAGGATATTCATTCAACCCATCAATCCATCCATCTAAAACTATATACAAGACATAGAAACCCATCAGTTTTCTACACTCAAACTATCAATATTGGATATTGGATAGTACTGACCAATCAGAACAAGGATAGTTAATGCTTCATTTTGACCGCGCGAAGGTTAGTATCGCATTTTGCAGGTTGGGATTTCGTCAGGCGACTGGCACTCGTCAAGCTATGCATGGTATCATAATTTTCATGTCTTGTATGTCAGGTAAATAACAATGAAAACCACTGTTTTTCCAGTCATTGGAAAATATCTCGTGTCCTTTCAAACATTTTTTAGTGTATACACTATAGTGATACCTGTCTGAGTTAATTCAGATCACTATTGAACTAATGTGTATTGATGCAATAATCTGTACGGCAGACTTAAAGACATTTCGTATAATAATATGAGTTCTATGGATAAGTCTCTAGGGCTTCATGTCCGGTTTATCTCTGTTCATAAGCCTTTCACCAAGTGATCAGTGTGCAACCCCATAACAGTTCGCTTTTTCCTCGTCACAGTCTATCTCAGTTTTTTCATGATTTGATTTTAACTTTCCAACGATTAATAATGTATGATGACTGACTTGTGATTGAGGGATCTTAGGTTAAGGATAATGTGTGTATACATATCTGTGCCACTGACATCGGTTCGGAGCCATATCGTCTAGAATCTCCAACCACCGGTTCCTCTTGTCCTGCGAACCCCAACCACCCGACCTGCATCGCCCCACATGGCTCAAACAAACAGTCAAACACTTCATACATCGATGCCATGTTTTAATCTGACTGCCTCGAGTCAAGAGCCTTTTTCCAACCTGAACCTACTTCGACCAGCATTGTGTGGCGAAACAGACGGCGACTAGGCATACGTAACACATGTCGCAACCATCTCAGTCGATGAAGGTTCACAACCTCGTCAACTGACTTACCTCTTCTCCTCAAAACTCTTTGTCCGCGTTACTCACGTGGTGACATCATGGAATACGGCCTATACTACGAAAGCAACGGTGGTCAAACACCTGAAACTTTCCCATGTCTTGCAACTTCAGTGGCCATGTTTCGCAGTCAGATGGTAGAACAGAGCGGACTCCTGTACAGTACACCCGACCCCTAATCGACAATCGAATATCACGGCGGCACCACTGGTCGCGTAAGTTGGCAAAAGCCGGTCGTCTTTTGTTTTCGTGCAGAGATTTCATCGGCTACTGAGCCACCAGGGCTAATCTCACTTCCTAGGTAAGTGAGGTGGTCAACACACTCAATCACTACACTCTCTATTGTTAGTTCGAGGCACCGTTGAAGACCAATCCTAGAGCAACAATTTGCATTTCGGTGATGAGAAACGCATTGTCACTCAAAGTCTACAGAAGACTCTGCATCTTGTCAGCATCTTCACTAACAGGACTATGTCATCTGGGTATTCTAGGTCTAACGATTGGGTCAACTTCTGTGTAGTCAGGTGACAAGAGGGAGACCTTCATAAGAATATCTATGATAAAATTGAATGAGAGTGGAGATAGTGGGCACCCTTGACGGACACCACTCGACGAACACAGCTCCCGGACATCTCACCATAGGCTATAATACGCCCACAAGTGTTCGAGTAGAAAGCCTTCAATAAGGCGATGTACTTACTCAGTATGCCTTTCAGTGAGAGACATTCTCATAAGACTTCTCGATCAACGGAGTCGAATGTCACCTTCAGATCGAGAAATACAGCTATTGTCGAGCGTCGGTAAGCGTGCCTGTGTTCCAGAACCTGTCACAGTGTGAATACTTAGTCGATACACCCGCGCTTGGGTCTAAAGCCTACCTGGTTTTCTTGGGCTTGCTGTTCCTGAGCTCCACTCAGGCGTCGAAGAATTATAGAACCTAGAATTTTAGATACTATGTTCGTCAGACTGGAATAATTAGTGGTTTCGGCCAGTCAGAGGGGATCGTATTTGATTCCCATATACTAATTAACACTTCCGTTAACCTGACTAAGATCACTCCACCACCATCCTTGTGTACCTCAGGAGTTAGTCCATCTGGTCCTGCTGCTCTTCCTCGTTTCAAGTGACCTACAGCTTTCTCGACTTCTGCAAGTGTTGGGGGGCATATCTCAATGTTCCATTCAGGACCCGACTGGATAGCGGGTAACGTAATGGTGGCTGGAGGCCAGTTAAACTGTTCCTCAGAGTGTTCTGCCCATCGTTCTAGTCGTCTCCCCTGCGAGTGGATCGCAGACCCGTCCTTCTCCGCTATAGTCTCACTAACCGTTGTTGACGTTTCCCCTTCCCCCCCCCTTCAGTTTCCTTAATAAGTCTAAATAATTGTCTACCGTTACCAATTGCCGCTGCCTTTTCCACCTCTTGAACTTTTGATGCCCACCACTGTTAGCGGTCGTTGCATAGACTTTTTCTTAATCTACTTTTGAGTTGCACTCGCTGTTCATTTTATTCAGAGCCTGCAGGGATGAGTTCACGTGCATCCATTAATCTGAAAGAGGCTGCTGATATCCACACGCTCTTTTTAGCCACTTTTTCGAAGTTGTTTTTGGTCTTCAGCGCTGCTTTTACAGCAGACTGGAGATGGCACCAAGCTTCTTCTTGATGATAGTGTTCCGTTCCGATAACTCTCTAGCCAATTTCTCACTGAAAACGGCTTTGGTGTTTTCATTGTCGAGCTGCACTCGTAATGGCTTTGCTGTCAAAGTTTTCCTACGCCCATTGAGATGCAGGCATATACGTGCTCGGACCAATGTGTGGTCGCTATCTAAAAACGTACTCCAGAAGGAGCGGCAGTCTTCCACCGACCCTCTTTAGAGATGACTGGTAGCAATGTGGTCTATCTGTGTCCATCGCTGAGTTGAGCTCAGTGGACGCCACGTCAGACAGTATCTTTCTTTATGTCTGAAATTTGTGTTAACTACAAATAAGCGGTTATCTGAGCACAGTTGTAGTAGGCGATCACCGTTATCTGTTCGTTCAGCTGGGATTCTGAAAGTACCACCTAAGTGCCCCTCTGCCTTACTCAGTTTACCCACCTGTGCATTGGAATCACCTGCAACAACCACCACGTCTGAACGTTTGGCTTTCGAAAGGAGGCTAGGCAGTTTACGGCAGAACTCGTCCTTCACTGCATTTGAACCACAGTCAGTGGGTGCGTGGGCAGAGATTACAAAAAGACAACGGAGAATTCCAATATTCCCTTTAGTTCTCACTATGTCATCCAGCCAGACAGTGCAAAGGCGACTATCAACTGGGACCCAGTCTAGTAGTAAGTTTTCTGCCCTAGTGATTAATGCTATTACCAACACCTGAAAGACCACGAAAGCTAGCCATTAAATCTCCAGAAACTCGAAAGGTGAATTTTTCGGACTCAAAAGATTGGCTGGGGGAGGTCAGGTGAATAACCGCACTTGGATCCAGCATGCGTGTCTCACAAACACAGCATACATCTATGGCCCAAGTTCCTAGAGTATTGGTCAATGAAGCCTGT